GTCTCACTCTCTGACACCAATTTGTTACGTCTCCGTTTGTTAATTAACTCTCCGTAACTTCGTTCCGACGAAGCTTTAGCGACACAAGTATTTACTTAATAAAACTGGTTTATTCTTTCCGAATGTAACTCTGCGATACACTTAATCTCAATATTCGCGCTAAAACAAACAGTATCACGAACGAACGAACGTTAACTTCAACAATACCCTGTGACTGCAGTTCAATTACTCACTATCTACACACACATTACATTACCTTTCCGCGTCACGTTTTCCCCCTCTTATATATATACCAGACTACCCTATCTAGTAAATACTAGAGCATTCATGAAAGAACAAGATAGTTCTAGAAACTAGAGGGCGCCACAGTAGTCATGTGACTCGCTGACGCAACAATATATATAAGACAGTCACAACGTGACGGGACAACAGAGGTAATGAGTAATTGAACTGCAGTCAGAGAGAATATTGTTAAGCACGTGAGAAGTTCGTTGATAATTATAGCGTTTGTTACAGAGCGACTGTTTTATTTAAGAAAGGACTTGTGTCGCTAAAGTTTCGTCGGAACGAAGTTACTGAAAATTAACTAACGAACGGAGACGTAACAGTATTTTTATTGGTAAAGCCATTAAGAAATATATAAAATAAATAAAGGAACAGGCGCTAAACAGAAAGAACTAATATTAATTTGCTTATTTATTGTACACTCTTAAGATGTTTCTTTATAAACTTTATATGATTATTCTTTTTACTTACGTAATCCTTAAAATAATAATTAAAATCAGGAGCAGAAGAATGGAAGCACAGAAAATAGTTTTCGACTATTTAATCACCCCAGGTGGCTTACTCTCATAGCTTCTATGATTTTATACATTAAATACAACGTATATTTTGATAACTTTTTTTAAATACTGAACATTTTGATTTCAGTTAAATTGTCCAATTTTAGCTATCGAATTAGACTGATAACGTGTTTCACAACTTGATTTGGTTTTCCTCCAAGAAAAGTCAAAGAGAAGAACCGGAGATACTGCAGATATATTTGATGTTGTACTTCTACCAGCTTAAATAGTGACAGTAATTGTGCTTACTCATTAAGATTATACCAAGTATACTTTTAATTAAAATATACCGAGTGTGGTCTATTAACTCTTTAATCTGTACTGTTGAATATCCTGCATTGAAGTATTTGTGTTTAGGCCTAAATGGAACAAATGGGGGGGATAGATACTGAAGTGTTTTTTTCTCGCAAAACGAATTTATCCTTTCTTTTTAGTTTTCAACTGACACTGTATATTTTTATCCAGAAAAATATCATAAGCAAAAAAAAAAACCCAAAAAAAACATAGGACTACTATGACAACACCACAAAACATATTTGTTAAATTCTTCATAATTACTCTATGTATAAGGAATCTGTGTAATTTTGAAATGTTTATAATATGTGTTTTATGTTGTTGTCATTATAATATTTTTTTATTTAATCACTTTTTGTTTCAAGGATTTGCACAAGTAAATAAAAACAAATTTAAATACCAGGTGTCGCGTTAGAAGATACACATTGTTTAACATGGCTGTGTCGTCGTGGAGTCCTGACAAGAAACATTCTGATAAAGAGAGGTAATTGTCTATTTCTCTGTTATTTTAATATAAAAGCTGACTCTTACAATAAGTCGTTAAAGACAAATGAAATTACTAATTAGTGCAGTTTATATTTATTATGTTAATACTTTTATTTTTGTTAATTTAATGTAACTACTGTCTGAACTAGCACTTGACTTAGTAATACTAATAGTGACTAATAGCAATACTGTTTTACTGTGGTTCTACTAACAGTAATACCATGTATTACCTCGAGTAGTAGGACTAGTAATAAGGTCGTTGAATCTGCCGTTTAGTTTTCAACCTTCCAATTTTACAAATACTAAAACAAAAATTAATAAGTGAATAGCTCTGAGGTCATTACTGCAATCTTTAATATCCATAGTAATTTTCAGTAACGTTGAAAGTAAACCTGTTTAGAAAATTATTCATTCTAACTTGTAAGTATAACTCTAATCTTCTACTTTTTCTACTTCTGTGTCTCATTATTTTTTTCTACCAACTAGAATTTACGTTTTTACCTGTAAAAGTTGGACATGTACCTATACCTTTTACAAGTTTTATTCTGTTGAATTTATTTAGATTTACTATTGTAAAATTTTACCAATCAGGCTTGTACAGAATTGTATGGCATGCTTGTTTACTAGAGTATATTCAGGCTGTTGTAGACCTGGTGCAAATAAATCAATTTTAGTTGAGTTTCCACAACCTGCAGTGTAGTAAAGAGCTTTGCTGTTATCATTTTCCTAATGTTTACATTTATAGAAGGATGAAAGTGTATTTTTTGGAAATAGCCATAGCAAGAAAAGATTGATGTGATTGTTCTTGTTTTCTTTTAATTTAGGTGGGTTTGTGTCTATCCTGCCTACATAAATAGTAAGAAAACTGTATTTGAAGGACGTAGACTGCCAAAAACCAAGGTAAAAATAATGCTATTACAAAAACAAATATGTGTTTGGTAAATTATTTTAAATTAAAGTTGATACTAATTTGAAGTTTTTGTAATTTTATTTCATAGCTCTTCATTTCAGCATATTTATGTAATATTTATAACAAAACATTTGAGGATTTGTTTATGGCTTCTTTCTTGCTTGTGTTTATTATAGCATGGTCAGACAAACTAAACCTGTTGAACCAAATATTACTTAGCATTATTACAGCTTAAAATAAGAAAATTATGAGGATGATTTTAGGAAAATTTTCCATCTCTTTAAATATAAGAATTACTGGGTATTTTTGTAGCCCTTCTGCAAGGTTTTAAATATTGTAAAATTACATTTCAGTGGTATTAACATACATCACCAAATTTACTGATGTTAGTCAATATTCACTAATAGATTTATTTGTTATTCTTAACAAACAAAGTTATTCACACTACCTTATCAATTACTCCTGTCATTCATAGGGAAAAAACCCACACAAAGAAGGTTACACTTTCTCAACACGAAGAACCAACTACACACAACCAGTATTATCCTTCCTCAACACAAAGAATCATCTACACACAACAGTGTTATCCTTTCTCAACACAAAGAACCAACAACATACAACACTGTTATTCTTACTCAACACCAAGGAACATCTACACACAACAATGTTATACTTGATTTACACCAAGAACCAACTACACACAACCAATAATTCCCTTTCTTTGCACCAAGATCCAACTACACAAACCAATCATGCTTGGAGATGGCTTGAATGGGTAATGAAGAAAAACTTTAATACAAGTTTAACAAAACAGCAAACATACAATGTTTCAACAAGGTTTTGTCATCATCAGGTACCATGTACCATTCAGGTACCATTCATGTCGTCTCCAAGCATTATTAATCTCAGAGTGGGTTCCTCGTCATCAAATTTACACAAACCAATGTTACCCTTGCTTTACACTGAGAATAGTGTCTTGCTACAAACTATAGTTGAAAAGTAAAACATTTAAGAAAGTTTAAATATATCTTTCTTTTTTCCACAATAACCTGTATATTGTGTGATATATAATAAAAGGTAAACTGTGGAAGAAATATTTTCACGGAGAAGTCCATTCTTGTGCTGTATGCTGACAGATTGTCATCACTGTTCATCATACTTAGAACAATGTGAATTTACCTTCCAGAGTTTCACACTTGCACTGCTTTATTGAAAGCAATTAAACATTTGGTGTATTGAAATTATATAAGTTATTTTTGTTTTGATATTTTGTCTTCCTTGTTGATTAATTATGTTGTGGCAGAGGATGTGTAACAAGTGCAAAATTGTTTTGACTTGAAGTGTGTGGAGAACCCAACTTACCAGGAAATCAGAGATGTTCTGGATTCTGCAGGATTTAAAGTTGGTGTAGAGGTAAGCTGATTCCTTCATTTTTACATGTAGAGGTAAGCTGATTCCTTCATTTTTACATATAGAGGTAAGCTGATTCCTTCATTTTTACATGTAGAGGTAAGCTGATTCCTTCATTTTTACATGTAGAGGTAAGCTGATTCCTTCATTTTTACATGTAGAGGTAAGCTGATTCCTTCATTTTTACATATAGAGGTAAGCTGATTCCTTCATCTATACATGTAGAGGTAAGCTGATTCCTTCATCTATACATGTAGAGGTATGGTTAGATTAGTAATAGTGGTTAAGATTACTCTCCAGACATTTTCCTCTTATGAATACACAAAGTTGGTGACATGTCTACTCTCTCTGAACTAGTTCTAGGTTTTGTTATATTATAACATGGAAGAGTTTTATGCCATCTCCTCTTCTGTAATCTATGTTATTTCTTATTCTATTAAGAATGAGTCTTTCCAAAGTCTTATTTTAAGATTAAAATCCCTTTTTTTTCATAGACTGTTTTTATCTCATTGGAAATAACTTCTCCAATCTAGTCAAAAAAGAACTTTATCATTTTGGATTATATTTTTATCATGGTCTCATTTTATGGAAATGTTAAAAGTGTAACTAGTTTTGGGTTACTCTGTTTTTAATTGTACTGTATGAACCTAGGTTTGGGTTACCCAGTGTCTTTATTTGTACTGTATGAACCTAGATTTGGGTTATCCAACATCTTTATTTGTACTGTATAAACCTAGATTTGGGTTACCCAATGTCTTTGTTTGTTCTGTATGAACCCAGGCTTGGGTTACCCAATGTCTTTATTTGTACTGTATGCTCATTCATTATTTGACTATTTTCATTTGGAAAGTTTTGACTTCTGGGGTCAATGACCTTTGTTCCAACACTTTGAAGTTGCTAATCAGTGATTGATAACAGAAGTTTTCTATTTGTCTCAGTTTTCTGGGTGCACAAATTTCATGTTTTGTTTTTGATTGTTTATTTCTTAGCAATTTGTGGATAAATATTCCATGACTTAAAGGGATGTTCTGCTTCACACCTTTGGTCCCTGTTATGACACAGGATCACTGTGTTGTCTTTTAGATGATGGCACCAAAGAAGTTTTCTTTCTTTTCCTTGATCTTCTTTAAACTTGAACAAACATACAAGTTGTTTGACAGATGGCTGTTGCAGAAATGTTAATGTATTTCATTATCATCTTGATAAGTAAAATAAATTAATATGAGGTTTCTATCTCAGCATCCTGGAAACTGCCAGATTCACAACTTTTACATCCTATTTTAATTAACATAGAAATTCATTGAATTGGAATTCAATTTGCCAAATTCAAAGTGGAAGCAAATACTAAAATCTAAGTTTGAAATTTATAGAAAAAGAAAAACTTCAAGAGATATTTATATTTGTTTTTTAATAGAACAAGCTATACCCAAGAGAAACTAATAAAGATGAATTGATCTACAAGGGACGAATAAGATTCCAGTTGAAGAAAGATGATGGAAGTCCAGTGAACTTAAAGTTTCCCACTCGTAAGTTTGTTCTAGTAACCTAAGAATAATACTAGAGAACCAGGAGACTCAGAGTCTTGAACATGATGATAAACAAATAGTTTCTAACAACATGATAAACATCTTAAAATTTTTCTTAATCCTTTTGTTTTGTATTCAATTACTGTTGTTGTTAAAGGAACGTTTGACCGCTTCACTTTGTGAAGACATACCAAGGCTGTGAAATGACATAGATGGCTTAGACATTCAACTTAGTAACGTATACATATGTGTATAAAATGTAAATCTAATGTGATTGCTCTCATTCTATAATATCAAATTGAACTGCACTAGAGTACAACCAGCAAAACAGTGCCACATCAGCATTATGTTTATAAAAGTACAGGCAGTCATACTATTCCCAGCTGTACTGTGAAATAATAACTCAAAACTCCAGTACAGAAATACTTCAATATAATCAAGAAGAAATCAAAGATTTGGCTGTTGTAGGTGACGGGTTTGGGAAAAATGTCATGGTTTATAAGAGGTTGTACAGAAGCTCTGAATGGGTTATGTGAAATACTTATGATAATTCAAGTGATTAATGTAGAAAACCCCAACTCTTTCAAAATTATTCTAAAGTCACTGAGAGTATGCTCTTTACGTGATGCAATACAGTAAGTACAGGTGTGAAAGTTACCACAAGAACAGTAAGTTTGCTGTAAGTATAGGTGTGAAAGTTACCACTAGAACAGTAAGTTTGCTGTAAGTACAGATGTGAATGTTACTACTAGAACAGTAAGTTTGCTGTAAGTACAGGTGTGAATGTTACCACTAGAACAGTAAGTTTGCTGTAAGTACACGTGTGAATGTTACCACTAGAACAGTAAGTTTGGTGTGAGTACAGGTGTGAACGTTACCACTAGAACAGTAAGTTTGTTGTAAGTACAGGTGTGAAAGTTACCACTAGAACAATAAGTTTGCTGTAAGTATAGGTGTGAAAGTTACCACTAGAACAGTAAGTTTGCTGTGAGTACAGGTGTGAAAGTTACCACAAGAACAGTAAGTTTGTTGTGAGTACAGGTGTGAATGTTACCACTAGAACAGTAAGTTTGCTGTAAGTATAGGTGTGAAAGTTACCACTAGAACAGTAAGTTTGCTGTAAGTATAGGTGTGAAAGTTACCACTAGAACAGTAAGTTTGCTGTAAATACAGGTGTGAAAGTTACCACTAGAACAGTAAATTTGCTGTGAGTACAGGTGTGAAAGTTACCACTAGAACAGTAAGTTTGCTGTGAGTACAGGTGTGAATGTTACCACTAGAACAGTAAGTTTGCTGTAAGTACAGGTATGAAAGTTACCACTAGAACAGTAAGTTTGCTGTGAGTACAGGTATGAAAGTTACCACTAGAACAGTAAGTTTGCTGTAAGTATAGGTATGAATGTTACCACTAGAACAGTAAGTTTGCTGTGAGTACAGGTATGAAAGTTACCACTAGAACAGTAAGTTTGCTGTAAGTACAGCTATGAAAGTTACCACTAGAACAGTAAGTTTGCTGTAAGTACAGGTGTGAATGTTAGCTCTAGAACAGTAAGTTTGTTGTAAGTACAGGTGTGAATGTTAGCTCTAGAATAGTAAGTTATACATTAGCTCAAATTTGTCTCATTGAAGGTCCAGTATTTACAAACTCCTATTTAGGAGAGGCTGAATGAAGTGAATCAGACTTCAAACAATGTGATGAGTAAAGTTGTTCTTCGTAACTAGATTGATTAATAACAATAACTGTTTTATGGCAAAGAAAAGAATGTGGTTAATATAGAATATCTAAAAGAATGATATTATGGTTAATATAGAACATCTAAAAGAATGATATTATGGTTAATATAGAATATCTAAAAGAATGATATTATGGTTAATATAGAACATCTAAAAGAATGATATTATGGTTAATATAGAACATCTAAAAGAATGATATTATGGTTAATATAGAACATCTAAAAGAATGATATTATGGTTAATATAGAACATGTAAAAGAATGATATTATGGTTAATATAGAACATCTAAAAGAATGATATTATGGTTAATATAGAACATGTAAAAGAATGATATTATGGTTAATATAGAATATCTACAGCAAAGTCTGCTTGGGAATCAGTGCAAGTGTAGGCTGCATTTGAAATCTTGGTGATATACACAAAATGGACGGTATCCTGCTAGCTAACAGGTACATTCAAATTCTGTTTTGTGATATACACAAAATGGACGGTATCCTGCTAGCTAACAGGTACATTCAAATTCTGTTTTGTGATATACACAAAATGGACGGCATCCTGCTAGCTAACAGGTACATTCAAATTTTGTTTTGTGATATACACAAAATAGACAGCATCCTGCTAGCTAACAGGTACATTCAAATTTTGTTTTGTGATATACACAAAATAGACGGCATCCTGCTAGCTAACGGGTACATTTAAATTTGTTTTGTGATATACACAAAATGGATGGCATACTGCTTGTTGACAGGTATATTTAAATTCTGTTTTGTGATATACACAAAATAGACGGCATCCTGCTAGCTAACGGGTACATTTAAATTTTGTTTTGTGATATACACAAAATGGATGGCATACTGCTTGTTGACAGGTATATTTAAATTCTGTTTTGTGATATACACAAAATGGACGGTATCCTGCTAGCTGACAGGTATATTTAAATTCTGTTTTGTGATATACACAAAATGGACGGTATCCTGCTAGCTGACAGGTATATTTAAATTCTGTTTTGTGACATACAAAAAATGGACGGTATCCTGCTAGCTGACAGGTATATTTAAATTCTTATACATAATGTCATTTTCTCAAGAGCAACACTTCTTGAGCAGTGATGTCAAGCATTTATCAAATATAGTTAAGCAATATCTGGAATAAAAACAGCATGATCTATGTTAATCTTTCTTACGTAAGGTAAGTCTGTAGTGATTCGCTCTTTGTTAATGTTTCTTACATAAGGTAAGTCTGTAGTAATTCGCTCTTTGTTAATGTTTCTTACCTAAGATAAACCTGTATTAGTTCAGTTTGAATTAACTCTGTGTTAATTTTCTTCCCCAAGGTAAATATGTAGTAATTCACTCTTTGTTAATGTTTCTTACCTAAGATAAACCTGTATTAGTTCAGTTTGAGTTAACTCTGTGTTAATCTTTCTTACATAAGGTAAGTCTGTAGTAATTCAGTCTTTGTTAATGTTTCTTACCCAAGGTAAATCTGTAGTAATTCGGTCTTTGTTAATGTTTCTTACCTAAGATAAACCCTTATTAGTTCAGTTTGAGTTAACTCTGTGTTAATTTTTCTTACCCAAGGTAAATCTGTAGTAATTCAGTCTTTGTTAATGTTTCTTACCTAAGATAAACCCATATTAGTTCAGTTTGAGTTAACTCTGTGTTAATTTTTCTTACCCAAGGTAAATCTGTAGTAATTCGGTCTTTGTTAATGTTTCTTACCTAAGATAAACCCATATTAGTTCAGTTTGAGTTAACTCTGTGTTAATTTTTCTTACCCAAGGTAAATCTGTAGTAATTCGGTCTTTGTTAATGTTTCTTACCTAAGATAAACCCATATTAGTTCAGTTTGAGTTAACTCTGTGTTAATTTTTCTTACCTAAGGTAAATCTGTATTAGTTTATTTGTGCGAGATGATTCCCAAACTGAAATCTCGAACCCAGAAGCAAAGTGGTGGAGACCAGTCTCACAGTGTACAGGGTGGTGGGAAGAAAGGAAAAGGCAAGAAGGGAAAACGATGATTAGAGATATCACCTATTCTTGGTAAACTGTCACGTGTCATCTTATAAGTAAGAGCAGCCCATGATGTAAAAAATGATTATTCAAAAATAAATAAAACTATCAGTACCTGTGATGTTTGATTGTCTTACAGTACCTTGTGTCCTACTGTGTTTAGTATAAAACTTCATGTTTTACTGGTGTTTTTATATAAAAGCTTATGTTCCCTTGATATTTGTGTTCCTATAACAGTTTACACCCATTGATATTGTTTTATAAAACCTAGTGTCTCATTCATGCTTTTCTTTATAACAACTCATGGTCCATTTTATATTCATGATTCTATAACATCATGGTGTTTTGTTCCTTATAACATTGTAAGAAAACTGAAACATGCATTGTAGAACCAATGTTTTTATAAACAATAACACAGCCTCGACACTGACAGGGTTTTATATACACAAAAGAACCTTAATTCCAACATTTTATGTGACAATTATAGTAGTTTATGTAGGTTTTTTATGATGGTTATCACAGTGGTCTATGTAGGTTTTTTATGATAGTTATCACAGTGGTCTATGTAGGTTTTTTATGATGGTTATCATAGTGGTCTATGTAGGTTTTTTATTATGGTTATCACAGTGATCTATGTAAGTTTTTTATTATGGTTATCATAGTGGTCTATGTAGGTTTTTATGGTGGTTATCATAGTGGTCTATGTAGGTTGTTATGATGGTTATCATAGTGGTCTATGTAGGTTCTTTGATGGTTATCATAGTGGTCTATGTAGGTTTTTATTATGGTTATCATAGTGGTCTATGTAGGTTTTTATGGTGGTTATCATAGTAGTCTATGTAGGTTGTTATGATGGTTATCATAGTGGTCTATGTAGGTCTCGTTGATGGTTATCACAGCGGTCTATGTAGGTTTTTTTATGGTTATCATAGTGGTCTATGTAGGTTTTTTATTGGTTATCATAGTGGTCTATGTAGGTTTTTTATTATGGTTATGGTAATATTATGTACAAGTTTTGTATGAGGGTTATCTTAATGGTCTGTACAAGCTTATGTTGGTTATGGCAGTATTATGTACAAGTTTTATATGATGGTTATCTTAATGGTCTATACAAGCTTATGATGGTTATCTTAATGGTCTATACAAGCTTATGATGGTTATGGTAGTATTATGTACAAGTTTTATATGATGGTTATCTTAATGGTCTGTACAAGCTTATGATGGTTATGGTAGTATTATGTACAAGTTTTGTATGATGGTTATGGTAGTATTATGTACAAGTTTTGTATGATGGTTATGGTAGTATTATGTACAAGTTTTGTATGATGGTTATAGTAGTATTATGTACAAGTTTTGTATGATGGTTATGGTAGTATTATGTACAAGTTTTGTATGATGGTTATCTTAATGGTCTGTACAATCTTATGATGGTTATGGTAGTATTATGTACAAGTTTTGTATGATGGTTATAGTAGTATTATGTACAAGTTTTGTATGATGGTTATAGTAGTATTATGTACAAGTTTTGTATGATGGTTATGGTAGTATTATGTACAAGTTTTGTATGATGGTTATCTTAATGGTCTGTACAATCTTATGATGGTTATGGTAGTATTATGTACAAGTTTTATATGATATTGCTTTCAGTCTTGTGCCTACTTTTTAAAGTGATTTTCTTTCATCTTCAGTTTAAAGTTTTTACAGTTACTACTAAGTCTGATTTTGCAAGTTTACAATAGATGGCGTCACAACTTGTACTATTTTGGGAATTCTGTAGTTTTGAAGTTTCTTTTGGAAAACTGTGTAATGAACTGGTATTAAACATGCAATAAGTTTGTTCTGGAACAAATTTGGCAACATTATTATTTCTTGTTATTCAATTTTGAAACGTGTTGTGACTATAATGTTAAATTTGAATTTACCTCAACTATCAACGTGTTCCAATTTCCACTTGTATTGTTTTATATGTCTCTGTTTATTCATGGGGTTAACAAACTTTAGACACTACGACAAGGGTTAAACGTTGAAATATAACACCAGGGGAAGTTGAAAAGGTCTGAAAAGAGTTTCTAATTTTAAACGTACAATAGACACTGATTTTCTTTTGAAACTTCATAAATTGTAGAGATTATATTAAGTAAAGCATTAGGTGATTTGTAAACACGAGAAGGGAAAATACATTGTGCAAACGATCAGCTGCAACAGCAAAAAAATAAGTAAGGTAAAAATGTCTAAACTTTTCACATCAGTTTTACTTTTTAAGGTTGAATAAATCGTATAGCTTCTGTGTTTCTACACGAAATCCCTTATCACTTGTTAACGTTTAGAACAACATGGAATATTAGTAAAACTCTTCACCTGATAACGTGTAGGACAACATTGAATATTCTTAAAACGCGTCGCTTGATAACGTGTAGGAAAACGTGGAATATTCATAAAACTCGTCACTTGATAACGTGTAGTAAACGGAATATTCTTAAAACTCGTCACTTGCTAGCATGTAGGAAAACATGGAATATTAGTAAAACTCTTCACCTGATAACGTGTAAGAAAACATGGATTATTCTAAAAACTCGTCGCTTGATAACGTGTAGGAGAACATAAAATGTTAATAAAACTCGTCACCTGATAACGTGTAGGAAAACATGAAATATTTATAAAACTCGTCACTCGATAACGTGTAAGTAAACATGGAATATTCGTAAAATTCTTCACCTGATAACGTGTAAGTAAACATGGAATATTCTCAAAACTCGTCACTTGATAATGTGTAGGACAACATGGAATATTAATAAAACTTGTCACTTGATAACGTGTAGGACAACATGGAATATTAATAAAACTTGTCACTTAATAACGTGAAGGAAAACACTGAAGTTGCACATATAAGAAACATAGTTGTTGTGTTTCTTGTTTTTTCAAGTAACATTAGATTTTATTTTCGTTATAACTGAACGTATACACTTCTCTAGGTCCATTTTCAAGGTCGTTCATAGTCTAGTATTACCAAAGTAATCACTATTGTCTTCAGGTATAATTACTGAAGGCGCTGACTTGACTTGAAGTTTTAATCAATCTTTAAAGTTCTACTGAACCCAAGGTGAAAATTAAAGATGTTTAGGTTTAGGGAAGACGCGTATAAGAGGTTTAGGAAGGCTTAGCTTTCCCACATGGGTGAAGAAAATACAAGTTTGAGTGGGTAATATAGAAAACTTATTTATAAATGTACAACGTTTCGACTAATTTATGTGAAGAAAGATATTTTATCTCTGACCACCCGTGGGGCAACCCCCACCTTTGAACATCTGTCGTGGACAAACAAAGAGCAAATGTTACTAAGCATTAATCTCACCAAATCAAAAATGTTATACAGAACAACCTACCAAGATAAAAGATTCGTGTGCTGCCTATGTGTTTAGGTTGCAGGTTTTGGTTCTGGCATTTCAGTTGCTGATTATCGTTTTCAGGTAACTGGTTTTGGTGTTAAGGTTGTATATTTAGGCTACAAGATCTAGTGATATATAAAAGGATATCTTTTTTTAGATCAAATTTTATAATAAGTATCGCTTAGAAAAACTGACTGGAGTAATACTGTTACGTCTCTGGTCGTTTGTCAATTTCCCGTAAAAAAATTCTTCCCGAGGAACTTCAGCGATACAAGTCCTTTCTAAAACTAGTTTATTCTTCCTCAATACCACTTTGCAATACACAGAATTTCCACAGTCTCTATAACTTAAACACACGCTATAATTCACAATGATTTACACACTTTACTTACGGCTTCACTCGATTATATATCCGTTATCAATTTATCTGCCGTCTTATATACTAAAATAGAGGGCGTCTAGCAAACGCTGGGACATTCGCGAGGTTCCCCGATCCTTCTAGAATATCATCACGTGTTACCAGAGTCACGTGACTTCCGCTGTCGTAACAATACAATCAAATTTTGAAATTGTAAATATTAAATGGTAAAAATCTGTATTCTAGGTAAAGGATGGTATTCATACACAGAGACTTAGTCACATAATCTGAACAGTCCGGCTATGTATAAAGCTAGTCATGTAATATAAACAATTGATTATAACATGAATCGAAAAATGTATACATATACCTAAATAAAATTTACACAACTTGTAGCTTATTATTCTTCGCTTCGATCACAAGAATGCCTCAATAAAGAAACAGGCAGGAAACTCCAAACTATACCTTGTTATTCTGCATGAAATGATAGATTCGTTAACACGTGACCAATTTATAGATATGACAGAAGACTTGAATTAGGCTGAACCAAGGGGGAGGCCTGCAGATGGGGATGGGACTTGAGTCCATTAAAGTCACGGATAAACAACTAAAACAATTAGTTAGACAACTAGTTACAGGATGGAGAGAATGAACCACGGAACAAAAGGTGTTTCAAGTGAACAGGATACTTGAATTAGGCTGAACCAAAGGGTAGCCCTGCAGATGGTGATGGGACTTGAGTCCATTAAAGTCACGGATAAACAACTAAAAGGATTAGTTAGACAACCCACTTGAAACACCTTTTGTTCCGTGGTTCATTCTCTCCATCATGTAACTATGTCATAACGTGATGTCAGTTATCTACAAATCATTAAGCTTGCTACAGAAATGTCACTTCCAACTTTCCTTTTGCTGGAACTTTATGTCCACTTACTGTTTCCATCAATCCATCTTCTTTCATCATTGTTGGACGCATCTTCCCATCTTTCATTACAAAATCAGGTCGAACTATAGCAGCTGTGGAGCCAGTGTCGACCAACATACTGGAAACCTTTCCATCGGTAAACACGTGGACTGGTTTCTTTAAATAATGAACTCATTTGGGACAGATGAAGTTTGCTCAATAAGTCCATCTAATTCTTGTTTCCCGATGTCTGGTTAACGTTTTCTCGTGGTCGGGCTGATCCGTGGGGTCTGGTTCCCTTGGTGTACTAACCACTGTTGATTCTCACAATTTTGGCTGTAATGGATTCCCTCATTTATAACAGTTGCATTTTACTGACATCATTTGTCTATCTTTCAATTTATCGTGTAAGAGTGCATATTGGGAACTGATTTCATGCGGGACATGGATGCAAGCTTCTCTACACTTAATGA